GGTTGGCGGCTTCCGGATCTTTGGGAGGGGGACGCGAGGCCCCCAGGGTCGCCCTCCGAGCACCCCGAACCCTCCCCTTCCCCTCAGGACTGCCGGGACCCCGCGGGGAGCCCGGGCCGCGCGGAGAGGCGGGCCCCGCGGGTGCGGCGGGGCCAGCGGGGGAGTGCGCGGTGCCCCCGCGCTCCGCCTTCAGCGCCAAACGCACGGAGAGCCGGGAGCCGCCGCCGCCGGACGCGCCGCTGCCCTTCGAGCGGGTGCTGCTGAACGAGCAGGGCCACTACGACGCGGCGTCGGGCAAGTTCACCTGCCGCGTGCCCGGCGTCTACTACTTCGCGGTGCACGCCACGGTCTACCGCGCCAGCCTGCACTTCGACCTGGTCAAGAACGGCGAGTCCGTGGCCTCCTTCTTCCAGTTCTTCGGGGGGTGGCCCAAGCCCGCCTCGCTGTCGGGCGGCGCCATGGTGAGGCTGGAGCCCGAGGACCAGGTGTGGGTGCAGGTCGGGGTGGGCGACTACGTCGGCATCTACGCCAGCGTCAAGACGGACAGCACCTTCTCCGGGTTCCTGGTGTATTCCGACTGGCACGGCTCCCCTGTCTTCGCTTGACGTCCGCGGGCAGTGCGCCTGCTGCTCTCACTCCCAGGGGCGGGGTGTCACCACGTCCTCCGGGAAGGCTGGCCCCCACAATGCTGTGAATGACGAGGGGTGCCTGGGGCGCGCCCGCTGCTGGCAGGGGGTGGGGACAGGCTGTCTGAGTCAGGGCCTCGGCATCGGGCACCGGTGGTTCTGCCCAAGACCCAGGGAGTGCGCTGTGCTGGCAGGTGGGGTGCTCTCTCCCTGGGACTCCGCTTCTCTCCTTCTCCCCTGCCCGCTTCCGCTTCTGGCCCTTTCAGTAGAGGCCATTCAATAAATCTACAAACCCCTCCTGGCTCGGCTCCCGTCTTTGGTGGTGGAGATGCCCTGGGCCTGAGGATGGGGAAAGTGAGGAGACAGGGGAGGAGGGGAGGGCTCCCGGCTGGATGCGCCGCGGGCCGGAGAGACAGGAGAGGCCCCGCGGGAGAGCCCCTGTGTAGGTCGTCAGGAGTCCCTCGCTGAGGAAGGCACCCTCTGGCAGGGAGCTCTGGCCACTTGTCCGAACTCAAAGGTGTCCTATGCCCTGGGTAGGGGCTACCTTTACACACACACCCCTGTTCTGATAACAGAAACGGAGCCCGGGTTTTTCGTTGACCATTTTCAAGCTGCTCGCTTGGTCCCTAGATGGCTGGGAGGAAGGCTGCTTGCTTCTCTCTCACCCCCCATTTCCAGGGAGTGGAGTGTCCCTGGGGTCTAGAGAGTAGTTTCTGAGGTGACCACAAGAGGGCGCCCCCACTCTAGAATGCAGCCATGACCCTGGGCAGCTTGAGTTATTTTTTATTGATTTCAGAGAGGTAGGAAGAGGGTGAGATAGAAACATCAATGATGAGAGAGAATCATGGATTGGCTGCCTCTTGCATGCCTGCCACTGGGGATCGAGCCTGCAGCCCGGGGATGTACCTGACTAGAATCGAACCCAGGACCCTTTAGTCCGCAGGCCGACGCTCTATGCACTGAGCCAAACCGGCTAGGGCAGCTTGAGCTCTTGACTCCGAGGCTGGTTGGCGGAGGAAGGATATGGAGGTTGGCCAATGGAATTCCTGATAGGGGTGGAGGGGAGAGTCCTCTGCTCCTAGCTCAGGAAGTTTATCTTTCCTCCTAAACCGTTTATCCTCACTTTAAACAGTGTGCATAGCCAAGGCTCTCCTCCTTCAGCTCCCTCTCCAGGGTTGGGAGGGGGAGGGACGGGTAGAAAAAGGCCTCCCTCAGGCCTCCCAACTCCAAGGTGGAGGTTTCCATGAACCCCCCTACCCCTGCTGTGCAGGGCATAGCCCCGATGGCCTGGGTGGGCTGTGCCAAGTCTGAGTCCTTCAAAGCTCCCCTCTTCTGACCTTCAGAAGCAGCCCTAGTCCCACACCCCAACCCAGTAACTAACAAACCGGGGCTTGCAAGGCCCCTATCAGCTCAGCCTCTCACCCCGAGAAGGTAGAGGGGCTCTCAGTTTCCTGCTGGCCTTTTCCCTCTTCCCCACTTGCAGGAGGCTGTCCCTGGCATTCCGCTCCGAGATTTAAATACAGTTATGGGGCACGCTCCCCTCTCTTGCTGGTCAGATGAGGGCAGATATGACCAATGGGACTGGGGTGAGCTGGAGACAGGCCTCCAGAGTATTGAACTTCAACTCCCTGCTCTCCACCAGGTCCCATCAGTGTCACTCTATGCCAAGAAAGACAAGCACCTGCTTCCCCAGGGATCAGAGAGTAGACTGGACACCAGGCAGGAGGAACCCCAAGTTCTCTCCTGGGAAGAGCGGCACAGAGGGAAAGCTGGGATGAGAAAGCTCCCACTTCTCTCTACCAGGGCTTTCTAGCAAAAATAGAAGAGAGGGAGGGCTTTCCAAAGGCTGCTCACGTGAGGACACAAATTGAGTTGATAAAAGCCAATCCAGCCACACCGTGGGTCTCCCCAAGGCACAGGGCTCCCATCCTACCTTCCCTCTCCCCCACCGGTTCCCCACAGATCACTCTGGTGACTAGCAGGACTGAAGGGCCTGCTGTAGTGTCAGTCACGCTGACCAACTGCTCACCCTTGCAAGGATGCACAGAGGCTGTCAGGGTTGTCAACAAACTTTATTCACTGGAAAGAGCCACAAGACCCTCAGGGAACTGCATGCCCCTGCCCTGGCCCCACTGTTTGGACCCTAGTGGAATGTGCACAGTCTGCCCTCGCAGTGCCAGGGAGAGGCAGGCAGAGGGGAATGCCATTTTCCCTGTGATGTGGGGAATGAAAGGACAGGGATAGAAATCTGGTTCTCTCTCCGGAGGCTCCCAGTGGAGCTGGGATGCGAGGGTTCATGGTCCCAAAGCCAGGTGCAGCTACACACACACACACACACACACACACACACACACACGGGTAAACTTCTGACCCCAGCTGTTGGACGAGGTTGGGAGGGAGCTTCAGAAGATCATGGCAGGCAAAAGTGGTAGCTCTAAGGGCATCTGCAAAACACCACCCCCAAGACCTTCCCGGCACAGGAGTTCTGGCTAAAAGCAAAGGTTCAAGAACATCCCAAGGCCGTTGAGTTGCCAAAATACCCAAATAACACTGATGTGTTGTGGCTACAGAAGCTAGGGAGAGGACCTGCAAATCTCCAACAGCAACAAAAACAGAAGCAGAGGAGGAGCCCCAGAGGCTGGCATCTGGAGGGGAGGCCACAACAAACAGACTCAGGGCGTGACAGTGACACGCCTCCCTCAGCATCGCAGGGACCCGCTGGGAAACAGAAGCTGCTATCCTGCCCCCACCCAGGTCACTGTCTTCCAGGGTGTCCCATCTCCATGTCCTAGACGTATGGCTTGGAGGCTTGGCATAACAGCCGCAGGGCAAAAGGCGATTCAGGCCAGGACCCGGAGGTCAGGTGATAATGCTGTCCTAGCACAGGTGGCTGTGTGGTGCGTGGACCTGGAGGAGGGCAGGAAGGGAGGGAGTTCTCAGAGGTAGACGTTGAGGGTCTGCAGAATGCCCCGGCGGCAGAGCGGGCAGTTGCGGTGGTAGACAGGGTGGCGCATCAGGATTTCGGTGCAGGCCTGGCAGAGGCACAGGTGCCGACAGGGCAGCAGCAGTACTGTCTTGCTCTGGTCCTGGCAGATGACACACTTCTTCCGCTCCTCTTGCTCCTTCAGCAACTTCCATGGGTCTTGCCCGGCTATAGGCTCCTCATTGAGCCTCTCCCTGCCCCAGGCAGCGGTCACTCTGGCCATTCTACCTTCTTCCTCTTCTGCCTCTGATCTGGGCCCTGCTTCAGGAAGAGTGTCCTGTTGTGAGGTCCTGGCTGCAGGCACCCTTCTAGGGCCACCCTGGGGAGCCCCAGGTGCCCCTCCCCAGTTTGGCCAGCTCGCCAGCTGCAGGCTGCGGCTCCAGACTCGGCGCCAAGCCTCCAAGCCCAGTGCGAGGCGAGACCGCCGCGTCACATCCTCTCGAAGCCTGTGGTAGGATGGCCGGGCATGGAGCTGACCGAGGGCCTGGGTGGCCAGCCTCAAGGTGAGGTCCGGGTGCAGCACGGTCACCGTCACCGCCAGCACACAAGCCAGCAGCACCAGGCCAGTGAGATTGACAAGCACAAAGCTGGCCACGAGGCGGGCAGCCGAGGCCAGGAGCTCCATCGCTAGCTGGCATGGGGTCCAGAGGAGGATGGCCATGGCCACAGCACTGCTGGAAATGTGCGCGAGGAAGGCCGCCATGACGTCCGTCATCCTCCACAGTGGCCCCATCACTGCATCCCACAGGGCCAGCAGCAGGGAGAAGAGGTTCTGAGTGCTAATGAGGCAGATGTTGACCAGGCTGTTGACCACATAGGCCACCAGGCTCATGGCGATGGCACAGACGTCACAGGCCTGGCGCAGCAGAGCGTGGCCACTGGAGACCACGCTGAGGAGGCCCCGCTGCAGGAGGTCCCGGCTCCTCCAGGCCCCGTGCGCCGCCAGGTGCCCCAGGAGCTTCAGGCCCTCCAGGCCGGAGCAGCAGCTGCACAGCAGGGTCCACAGGGCCTGAGCGCCCCCGACGATGAACCGCATCAGGGCTTCCAACAAGGCCAGCAGCGACAGCAAGACTCCGCGGCCCAGGTGCACCAGGCTGGTCAGCACCGTGTGGGGCAGGTTGTAGATGAAGGCCAGCAGCCAGGCCACGGAGGCCAGGAGGGAGGACACCAGCAGGAAGTTCAGGTCCAACGCCAAGGTCAGCACGTCCAGCACCAGGCCCACCCCGTTCACCACTCAGGTACACAGCCTCATGGCGGGGCCAACACCGCCCAGCTCCCGGGTGAGGGGTGGGAAGGCTGCGATGTTGGGGGGACGGGTCGGGGGTGAACCTGGAAGGGAAGGAAACGTCTCAATTCCGGGCGAGAATCGAGAGTCTGCGGAAGAAGGGTGAGGGGTGAGGGTCTCAGTGCGGGGAACGGGGTCCGGGTGGCCCGGTGTGGACGGCGGGCTGTCGGGGAGGGAAGAGGCCGGGCATCTCCGGGCGGAGGTGAGCCGGCGGAGGAGCGGGGCCTGGCGGTGCAGACCTGGCGGCGGCGTCCCGCGTCCCGGCGGTTGGGGCCGGGCTGGGCCGGGGCCGGGAGGGCGGCGCAGGCCGGGCGTGGGCTCGCGGTCCCGCCGCGCAGGTGCCCTGTCCCGGCCCGGCCCTCGTCCTCGGGTTCGCACTCTGCGCCGAGCGGGAGCGGGAAAGGGGACCCTCAGACGAGCCCAGGTGCGGCCTCCACCCCGCTGCGCGCCGCCATCTTGTGCGCGAAGGGGCGGGGCCGGCGCCGTGACTGCAGGGCCGGCCGCCGGGCACGGGGGGCGCTCATTGGCTCGTTTGAACGGCCCAACGCCTTTACTTCCCGGAGCAGGGGCGGGCGCAGGGAGTCCCCGCTCCCGGGGGGCCGCGACAGGCAGAGGCGGGGTCTTCTCAGCGCCACCCCGGGACGAGCGTTCCGCCCGGGGCGGGAAGTCTCTTTTGCGTCATTCTCGCCGGGACCGCTCGCCATCGTGGTTAAAAGCGCGGGGCGGGGGGGGGGC